GAGGAGGAGGGGGGCGAGGAGGAGGAGGAGGAGGAGAAGGAGGAGGAGGACGATGAGAAGGCGGAGGCGGAGGAGGAGGAGGAGAAGGAGGAAAAGGACGAGGACGAGGACGAGAATGCGTAGGGGGAGGAGGAGGAGGAGGAGGAGGAGGAGGAGGAGGAGGAGGAGGAGGAGGAGGAGGTGGAGGAGGAGGATGAGGAGGAGGAGGAGGAGGAGGAGGGGGAGGAGGAGGAGGCAGGGGGGGCTGAGGAGGAGGGGGAAGAGGGGCCACGATCCTCGTGAGGGGTGCCCAAAATAGCTTTCGCATGATCCCATGTTGGACGCTCCAACTACCAGCGAATTCCCCCTGTCCAGGTCTAGGGGACGGAGCGAGGGGGAGGGGCAAACCGATGGGGAAAAAGAGGGCTGGAAGGGGAAATGTTCCAACCCACCTGCGCACTAAAGGGCCGGTTGGATTTGATTCGGCTTCGCGGCGGGGGCGCAAGCGACAAGCCGATCCCGCCGCCGAAGTTCAGCGTCTTCGACGTTCTTTGAAACACCAGGGGGATATGCGCGCGCAGGCCGAAGCAGAGCTGGCCCTCCAAAGTGGTGACCCGACGTTCAATCGCATCCATCATCTTTGGCACGTGCGCGTCGCTGCAACCCCCCCGTCGATCCCAGCGCAAACCCTTTCGAACTTGTGCAGAGATATCGGGGTGCAGGAGGTTGGAGGATCGCAATGTGCACTGTGCACTGTGAGATCATCAAGAATATGAACATGCAGGAGTGGAGAACCTTGCGAAGTCTGGGGCCTCGGCGGGGTGCGCCGCCATGCTCCGCCACGTTCATGACGAGGCGCCAATGCGCCTCAAGTCGTACGTGGCCGGCGACGGTGGGCCGTGCGATTTGTCGGGCCCTGGCGTGGCTCCATGCAGGGGGCGGTCGAGCAAAATTCAGAACGACGCGCTCGTTGTCTTTCGCGGGCGCCATCCGTAGTCTGTCTCACGGAGCTCCAAGCGTTGCATAAGAAGGACGCCGACAACATCGCTACGGCCGTGCTCCGGTCTGGTCTCCCTGTCGTTCGCAGGTGCGTAGATGCCCGACGGGGGTCGCCATCGCCCATCCGCATCCTGTACTTCCTGGTCGGCGACGCCGTCGGCGCCAATGGGGCGGCAGCTCGCCGAGTCTGCAAATATTTGCAACAATTGGAGACGGAGTTGGGGTGCCTGATATGTTTAGTGCAGATAAAGTGCGCTTCGCACCAGAGCAACCTGCGCGTCCACGTCGCCGTGGTCGGGGGGCTTGTGGCCAAACCTGCTGAAAATAATCCGTTGGCTGGGACATGCGTGCGCTCTCTCCGCTACCTTCTCAGCGACTACTTGGAGGAATTTGCACCTGCTCTTCGCCGTTTTGTCATCGATAAGCTTTGCGTCATTCCTCCCGACACCGAGGCCGGGGTGGCCGCTGCCGGAGACGGTGGCCAGCGCAACAAGCAGTTGCAATTGCTATACGGTGCGCAGGCTATTCCTGGCGAGTCGTGCGAGTTCTTCAATGCTGGCGTTGGCGTATTCGCCGCCGTCGCAGCTGAGCCTCCGGATGGGCATGCGCCTTAGCAAACTCAGGCGCGCCGTTTGTTGCACCGCCAGCTGTTCAAGCTGGAGAACAAGCCGATCACCACGAGGTTTTGGCTCTTCACGGAATGCGGCGGGATTGAACGTCGGCGACGACCGCGCCCTGGTCCAGGGAGGGGGGCGGGGGCCGAGGAAGGGGCAGGGGGGGGCGCCTTCCAAGCCCAGCGGTCTAGGGGTTGTTCGGCCGACGCAAGTCCAACGCATTGCAGGGCGCCGTGTTCGCACTACTCCGCTTCGTGCTACCCGGCCTCAAGCAAGATGGTATATTCGTGTTAAACATGGCGAAGCCCCAGGAAGATAACCGGGGGCGGTCGAAGTCCGCGCGGGCGTTCTTGACGCGCCCAGACTGCGGGCAGTTGCTCCGCAAGGCGGCGCCATGTCTGAGGCTGACCCAGCACGCCGCGTCTATCACAGGGCAAAGCAGCAAAAACACGGCCGTGCATGGCAAGCCTCTGCTGCTGAGGCTGGCCCAGGGCGAGGTCCAGCATGCCGCGTCGGGGGACCTCCAAACAATGATTCCGCTGTTGGTGTAGGACGAGGCTCTGGGCGCCAGCGGCGCTCTGATAGGCCTTCCCCTTGCGCAGGGCCACGCCGTTGTCCGATTTTCAACAGCACGCAGAGTGCCCCCTGCTTCTTTGGAAACTGATGCGAACATTTAACGGGGGCGCTGCCGCGAACGAGGCCCAGGCATTCATCCGCCTGCCCGCCTCTGCTCTCGATGCGGGCTACTCCCTCCGACTACAGACGGAGGCAAGGCGCGGGCGGTCAGACGAGCAGGCTGCATCGTGGCTAGTGTCTTCAGGCGCCCAGCAGGAATTACGCGCTTTTTCTTTTCAGGCGAAGGGGGTAGCTTAGACGTCGAAAGGGGGCGCGCCTTTTCGGAAAAGAACGAGACTTCGCGCGCGAGTGGAGTGGCCAAGTGTTCCCGCAACAGAACCCTGAGGCGCATGCAATTGCGGCGTGAGGAGGCGCGCAGCGCACCCTGGGCGCCGAGAAACAGGCCAAGAAGGACATCACCATGACATATTGGAGACTGGCCACGCAGAGACAGCCAGAGTTGTGCGTCCGCCCCCGCGGGCGCCTGCACTGGGAGACTGGCGGATCTGACGAACGCGCGCGCATGTTGGTTCAGCGCGGGGACGAGACACGTCGGAATGAGTATCTCGCAGAGCATGGGCAGGCGCCCAGGGCCGAGGCGGAGGTAATCCGAGAGTCTGCGAAATCGAAGCTTCGGAGCTTGATTGACGATGATCCAATTATGCCGTTGACGAACGCCCAGTGGTTGAAATGGCTGGACTCCAACGCAAGTGAAATCTATGATCTTCTGGCTTCGGCTAGCAGGGCGCGGCGAGAGCTGAACAGGAGGGTGAATCCGTTTGAGGGGCTTTCCGACATGGAGCGATTGCAGCCGATCCGCGCGGCCATTGACCGTTCGTCATTCGGGGCGACGCTCGCCGAGCAGCCGCCTGGCATTTTCTGCGCTGCTCAGAGCGGTGAGAAGCGCGCGTGTTTTTTTCTTTTTCTCTGCATGGTCCGAGACATGGGTTTCTATAACCTCGGGATGGCCGATCTTTGACCATCAGCGTATCTGCAGGATTTGCAAACATCTACAAGCCCATTTCCCAGGTCCTCCAGGACGCCGGGGCGGACGCGCGCGCCGGCGGCCGCGAGTTGCATCGCATTGCGGCGCGCCTGTCCCGGGCGTCAGGTACCGAGGCCACTTTACGGATAGAGGCGATGGGCCCTGTTGAGATCGACGCTGCTCCCGAGGGCGACGCGGGCGAGATGGGTGCATCGCCGCCCCCCGGCAAGGGGGAGTTTGGCGGCGTCGGCGAGGAAGTGTGGGCGAGCGAGGCTAGCGATATAGCGACCCTGTGTTCCGATCCTGAAACCGCCGCGGAGGACATCCAGGAGGGGCCCCGCGAGGACGAGGGCCAGGAGGGCGACGTTGCGAGCGAGGCGAGCCATGAGTCCAGCGACGAATCCGATTTGGAGGAGAAATGCAAGCAGGCAGCCCCGAAAGACACTTTCACGATTTGGAAGAACGGATATTTCAGACTCCATAACCACCCAGGGCATCCCAATGCATAGCTTCTGATATTGGACGAATGGTGCAGGCCAGTTGACGAAGGGGGCATGGGGGAGGTCCAGATGTCTAAGACCATCAAGACCGCCCCCCTCGACGGGGATGCCCCGGAGCCGAGAATCACGCATCTGTGTGTGAGGGCTTGGATGATATGGAAGTTCCAGCAACGCGGCTCCAGTGAGGCGAAGAGCTCTCGCAATAAATTTACCGCTGCGGAGCGGGCTGCGCTTCGCAAAGACGTGGGGGCCACGACGGGATCTGCAAAAACAGATGCCAAGATTCGCGAGTGGGCACCCGAAGTTTTTAATTTGATGCGCTGATGCAAGGAAAAGAAGGGAAGCGAACAACATATCAACACGTGCGTCATCATCGTCATCACCATCATCATCTTCATCTTCATCATCACCATCACCATCATCATCATCATCACCATCATCATCTGCGTTTGTTTTTGCCCCCCCCCCCACCCCCAACCCCCAGAGGCCTGGGGCGCCGCCGCGCACGGCGCCCTTTCTGGGACACCTCTAGAGGACCCCGAGTGGAGCTCAGGCGAGAGGGTCGTTGTGAAAAAGGAGCCGCCCTCGCTTCATCGTCTGGGCCTTCTCTGCTTGCCCCCGCAGCCCCCAGAGGCCTGGGGCCCTGCGTCGCACGGCGCCTCCCTTTGGGACACCTCGAGAGGACCCCGAGTGGAACTCAAACGAGAGCGTCGTTTGAGAAAGGGGCTGCCTTCGCCTCATCCTCACGACGTTTTCTGGTTCCCCCCTCGGTCCCCCGAGGCATTGGGCCCCGCCTCGCACGGCGCCTCCCTCTGGGAGACTTCGAGGGGACCCCATTGGAGCTCAAGCCAGAGAGCTGTTTTGAAAAAGGGGTTGCCCTCGCCACATCCTCAGGACCTTCTCCGGTCGCCCCCTCGGTCCCTGGAGGCCTTGGGCCCCGCCCCGCACGGCGCCTCCCTTTGGGACACCTCGAGGAGCTTAAGCGGGAACGTCTCTTTGAAAAAGGGGCCGCTCTCGCTTCACCCTCGGCGTTTTTATGTGGTCGCCCCTCAGCTCTCAGCCCTCGAAGGCCTAGGTCCCCGCCTCGCACGGTGCTTCCCTCAGGGACACTATTGGGCGCTATTCGGACGCTATTGGACGCTATTCGGACGCTATTGGATGCCATTCGGGCGTTATTTTGTGATTTCCAGATAATTTCGCTGATCCACACCGATAGCGTCGATTGAGCGCTTCGATAGCGTCCCGATAAGCACCGATAGCGTCCAATAGCGTCCAATAGCGTAGCTGGTGGCGGTCCAGCCTGGCTGTCGGGCCTCCGCAGGCGAGGGCCGATTGAGACCCTGGGAGCTGGTTTTCGGGGGTATCCTCGTCGCCGCGGCCGGGTGAAGCTCATACGCTGCTTATCTGGTTGTCAGTCGCACCTGGTCCAGGGAAGGATGCTTATATGATCCTCTGTTGGGGCTGCGCGGGCGATTAGGGTGAGGAGGAGGAGGAGGAGGAGGGAGGAGGAGGAGGAGGATGAGGAGGAGGAGGAGGAGGAGGAGGAGGGAGAGGAGGAGGAGGAGGAGGAGTGAGGACGAGGAGGACGACGCGGACGACGAGGACGAGGAGGACGAGGAAGACGAGGAGGACGAGAAGGACGAGGATGGACGAGGAGGAGTGGAAGAGTGAGGAGGAGGAGGAGGAGGAGGAGGAGGAGGAGGAGGGGAGGAGGAGGCGGGAGGAGGAGGAGGAGGAGGAGAGGGGAGGTGGAGGGGAGGTGGAGGTGGAGGAGGAGGAGGAGGAGGAGGAGGAGGAGGAAGGAGGAAGAGGGAGGAGGAGGAGGAGAGGAGGAGGAGGAAGAGTGGGACGAAGAGGAACCAGAGGAGGAGGAGGAGGAGGAGGAGGGAGGCGGAGGAGGAGGAGGAGGAGGAGGAGCAGTATGAGGATGAGGAGGAGGAAGAGGAGGAGGAGGAGGAGGAGGTGGAGGAGGAGGAGGAGGAGGAGGAGGGTTCAGGGCAAGGTTCAGGGCAAGCTTCGGTGGGCGCCCGAGGCGCCAGACGAGTGCCCCTAGAGGCCCACATGTCTGCCATCCTTTTTTTTGATTTATTATGTTCCGAGTCCGACAATCCAAGATGGCCCAAGAAGCCGCCACCACCACTGGAGAACCGGCCGCGAGGTCCCCACGAGGGCCCCAGGACGGCCAGGGGCGCCCCAGATGGCCCAAGAGGCCCTAGAGAACGGCCCCAGATGGCCCAAAAGGCCCCGTAGCAATTTTGGCTAAAGCTATCTGGGCTCAGGCAAATCGTTTTTGCTCGAGCCGGGTCCAGTACCTCCCCGCGGTGCTTGAGGGATTTCGTCGTGCCGTGGCTCGCGTCACCACGTCGACGTCAACTAAAGCTGGAGTGCACATCTATACGTATTTCAAGGTCTCCTCGAGGTTGATAGGTCGGCACGTGCCGTTCATAGATCGGTTCATCGACCTGTTTACCCCGTTCGTGTGGGAGCTCCTCGAGTTCTCGGGCGGCTGGCCGCGTCATTTACAGTTCGGGTATCCCCCGCACCCGCACGGGGGGTGTATTCACTTTTCGGGGGCTGCGGGCTTGCTTGCTGTTTTTTCAGGCGTCCTGGCCCCATCCATTACAATATTGTTATCTTCCAAAGCTTCTGGGGAGGGTATTCTTCAAACGTGTTCTGGGATGGATATCTGGTTGACGTTGGTCTACGTTGTCGGTCACACCTTCGCTGTCTATTTCACCTCAGTGTTTGTGGTTTCGTGTTTTTGCCGCTTTGTGGATGGTGGCCGCTGTGTGCGATCTTCGAACATATTCCAGGAGTTCGATATAGGGTACCGTTTCTACTCTGTGGCTGGAGCTCGATAAGGCACGGGTGTGGTGGTGTGGTTTTGGACGGTGGTATCGGCAATTGTAAGCTCAACGGCGGCTGGGTCGCGGAGTCCTTGCTCTCCTTTCAGCAGGTCGTGTTCTGAGCTGCACAGGGTGCGGCGTCAGGATTATCCGTATCCACAGTGCCCACTGGAGGAGGAGGAGGAGGAGGAGGGGAAGAGGGGGAAGAGGAGTAGGGGGAGGATGGGGAGGAGGAGGAGGGGGAAAAGAGGAAGAGGAGGAGGAGGAGGAGGAGGAGGGAGGCGGAGGTGGAGTAGGAGGAGGAGGCGTGCGGTTCCCATGGGCCCCATCTTTGGACCGATGAGGGGTAGCGTTCAGCTGCGAAGTGGAGCTTCAGGCAGCGCGGGCCGCTTGGGCCTCTGGGGCTTGTGGCCGCTGGGGCCGCTTAGGGCCGTTGGGGCCGCTTGGCATTCCTCCTCCTCCCCCGCCTCCTCTTCCTCCTCCTCCTCGTTTCCTCCTCTCCTCCTCCTCCCCCTCCTCCTCCTCGTCGCGGTCATCCTCCTCCTCTCTCCCCCTCTCCCCCCTCCTCCCCCCCCCTGTCCTCCTCCTCCTCCTCCTGGCTTCCCTGGAGCACCCTGGTTTCTAGGGGCGTTCGTTCCCTGCCCCCGCCCTGTCTTCGCGCCGCCGACAGGGGGCGCGGGACAGGGCTGTGAAGGCCCCGCGCTCCTTCGGGAAGAAAAACTCCGACTTCGCGGGGGCCGAGAACGACGAGCAACAAATCCCAGCGTGCATGAGAGCTGCCGCCAGCTTGCCAGCGGGCGCCAGGGCGACCCCGAACTTGCCCAGGACCAGCCGCGGCACGGCAAGCACGAGCACAGAGGTGAACGTTGAGCATTGGGCACAGCGCAAGACGCGCCTGCCTGTCGTTCCCGAAGCTGCCAAGGCGCACTTGGCCGATGCTGAAACGATCCCCAATCTACCGTCGAACGTGGGTCCTGCGAGCGGGATCTGGCTCTTCGACAAGCAGATCAATAATGACCCGTCGGTGAAGATGCTGGACTTGGGCCCGGAGTGGTTCACCGCCAAGGCGAAGGCTGCCAACGAGGTTGAGGTCGACGCCGGCGCTGGCGCTTTGGCGCTGCCTGGCCCGGAGGCGCGGCCAGAACTGGAGGCCGAGAGACCAGCGCCTGCGGCCAGTGCCGACGGCGCGGGGCTCGCGGGCGCGCCGCCTGCCGGGAGAGGGCGGAGCCTGGGCCAGCAGTGGTGCGAGACTGAAATGACGGGCGAGGAGGTGGCGCGCGGCATGTTCGAGGCTGCCAACAAAAGCCCCTTCGCTGTGGGATCCAGATCCGTTCGCGACGAACTCCCTGCAGGCGGCGGCGGCTTGGTTCACGCAGCACGTGACCGAGGTGGCGAAGAGGATAAGCAGTGGCAAGATTTGCCCGGAGCCAGCGCCAGAGTACATGTTCAAGTTTTATTCTGGAGCCCCGAAGTTGTTGTTGAACGCAGATGGTTCGTTTGGCGCAGTGCAACACTTCAGCAAAGCCTTCACAGATGCAGTGGGTGCGCGGCCCACCGTCGTGCCCAGGGTGCCCCTGCAGATGCGCGCGACGGCGTCAACGAAGCTCGAGGAGACGGTGTCCTTGACCGGTGCCGAGATCACCGATCTGCAGAAGGCTCTTCCATGGGCCTCCTGGGAAGTGTTGCGCGAATCAGAATTTTTCGCCGCTTTCACGGCAACGGGGAACGCAGCGCTCACGAATAACATCAAGTCAAGCGAAGGCCTGTTGAATCGCCCTCAGATCGTTGCTTCTCTGCTGTCTCAGGCCGGCGAGGGCGCGGGCGAGGAAGATGAGCTCACCCTCGTTTCCACGCTCCTGGGTCCGATCAGCCAGAATGACATCCTCAGCCTGCTGTTCTCCAAAGGCGACGGCAATCAGCGCGCCAGGGCGTTCGACCGGGTGCGCGCCTGGTTCCCGAGCTGGACCAAGACTGCTGCCTGCGGCCCCCTGTCGCTGGAACCCCTGGACCTCGCGTCGATCTCTGGCAAGGACGCCCTGAAGGCGGCGAGCTTCGTGGCGGCAGAATGCGAGGGCCTGTAGCCTGTTGTCCTTCTACAAGAAGTGCTTCGCCGACGGCGGCGCGGGCCTCCCGGGGGCCAGCGCCGCGCACAGGCAGATGTGGGTGAACTGCGTGTTCTTGGATCTCGCATCCCTGAGGCGCGGCCTCCAGGCATGCGAGGCGGCCCCGCCGCCTGTGCACGACCCGCGCGCTCCGCTGCACGACTGCGTCGCGCGTGCCGGAGGGGTCGGCCTGGGCAAGGCCCTCGCCAGGGCCGAGAAGGACGACGCGCGGGCGCGCCCCCGGACCCTGCAGGCGCGGGTCGCGGGCCCGACAGCGACGCCGGGCCCGACGGCGGCCCTGGGCAACGAGGAGATGGCCGCGGCGGGGCCAGCAGTCGGCGGATCGCCTGGGGGGCCGGGGGCGGGGGCAAGGCTCCTCCAACAGCGGGGCTTTGCTTTCAGAAGCTCCGGGGCTGATTCCAGGGATCCTGGCGCGGATTGCCGTCTGAGAAAGGCTCTGCCGTCTGAGAAGCCTCGCTTGCCCCCCGAGCCCCCCCGGCGGGCCGCCTGGGCAGCGAGGGCGCAGCAGCCGCCCGAGGCGGGCCCGACGGCGGCCCCGGGCAACGAGAAGGCCGCGGCGGAGCCAGCAGTCGGCGGGTCTCTCGTGGAGGGCGCCACCGTCACATTCAGCCTCGCGAAGAATCGGCGGCGGGCGCGCGGGTGGGATATGAGCGGGGCGGGGGGGGGGGGTGCTCAACAGTTTCTACGTGGCCAATTCTGTCTTTAGAGAAGGCGGAGAAAATTTAAACATATTCCCTCGGGCTTCTGAGAAGCCCCGCCACTTTCTGAGCGGGCCCACTCCCTTTTTCAATCTTTCCTGGGCCCGCCGCCGAGAGAAAGATCTCGCGCAGAGGTTCGGCAACTGCAGGGGCGAGATCAATCAGGCGATGAGCAACGGCAGCCACTGCGAGGCGCGCCTGCTCACCGGGGCCCACGCAGGCGAGGCGCGCGAGTTCGCCGAGGGCCAGGTGAAGGCGGAGGCGCCGAGCGGCGGCCCCTCGAGCGGCCTCGCCGCGCCTGCGGGGGCCGGCAGCAAGAGGCCAGCCGACGGCGCGCCCGAGGATAGCAGGGGCGGGGGGGCGGAAGAGGGAATCGACCCCCAATGCGCGCCGGGGGTTCTAGTCAGAGGAAGGCCGATTGAGACAACGAGAGTTGACCTTCAGCGGGCCGCCTCGTCGACGCGACTGGACGCAGCGTGGAACATGCGTGCGTTTCGGCCCAGGGGGGCGCCCAGGGGCCGAGTTGGGGCCGATTCGTTTGTCCGCCCCCCGACGAGAAGCAGGGGCCGAATATTGACTGGGGCAAGTTTTCCGGCCGCGCGGATGGCATCGCTCGAGCTGCCTTCGCGCGAGCCGCGCGCCTCGAGAGCGCCTGCGCGCGCCGAAAGGGGGGGGAGGACGGGACGGGATGAGAGAAACGGAGGAGAAGAGGAGGAGGAGGAGGGAAGAGGAGGAGGAGGAGGGGGAAGAGGGAGAGGAAGGGCAACAGGAGCAGGAATAACAGGCTTATTTTGCCTTCGGCTATTCAGGCCTCTAGAAGGCCCCAGGCGGCCCTGGGGCCGTCGCGCGCGGGCCGTGCACGGGCGCCTAAGTCCCGCGGGGAACGTCCCAGGGGCCGGGGGGCGTAGTGGAGGACGCTTCTTCCTCCCCTTCC